ATGGAACTTGGCTAATTATTTGATGTTATTTTATGCTTCAGCAGCCGAAGTATAATGCAGTCAATAGAACTTTCCATGAGTGGACAGAGAGGGAGGGAGGGAGGTCATGTCCGCCTCGTCTATTTTTCCTCCTGTGGCTTTCAGGAAGGTAGTAAAATGTTCACACGGTCTAAATCACATGGCTTCTAGTAAGCCTTGGCAAAAAAGGCCAGGACAATGAGATGCCTAAATTCTGAGTCATTGCCAATCACGGTCAAGGAACCTACTTATTCACACTGCTTTTGTTGCACTCGTTTCACCCAATGACGTGTATTGTGTGGCGTTCGGGTTTTGGGTCATGGAGGGGTAGATAGTTAATCCTTTAGAGATGGTTATATAAACAGAATACATCAAATCTACTGACTGGGGTAAAGGGTTTATTGATTCAAATTCATTCATTTAATAAATATATTTAAAGTGTTATTAAAGTTAAAATGTTTTACACTATTTCAGATGCTTATTATATCACTTACAATGGATGCTGCTCCTTGATGTTTAGAAGCTCTAGCTTCCTGTAGAATCAGCTGGTCCCCTGTGCTCTGGTCCTGATATCCTGTTATAGGGGGGCTCCTTTCCCTTGCAGGGTCCCTATGGAACCACCCTTGTCTGCTAGCAAGCTGTGTGTGTCTCCAGAAACACACAGGCACAGTAAGGCAAGTCATTTCCCTGTTCCCTGCTTCCCTTCCTCACTCGTCTTTTCCCAGGCTATAGAGGCACATCTGTTGGAGACTGTGCTGTCTCTTATGATCTTGTACTGGACAGGAAGTTAAGGTAAGCCAAGCTGAGAGAGTTGGAGCCAGTTATTCAGAAAAATGGTGACTGTAAGTGCTTGGGCAAAAATGTAAAGAAATATTTTGCTGGGCGATAACCCAAGCTTTAGTCATGACTGAATCAAAGCTCAACTCAAGCCTTAAAGTGTACCTCTAGACAAATGTTTTTTTTTTAATTCTGAATTTGTTTCCTTTGTTATTTTTCTATTATGTATACAGTATCTATGGAGGAGCAGGGCTGTCACCCTTGGCTGTTCTCGTATTATAGACTACAAGCACCTCTCCCCCTCCTCATCGCCATTACATAGAGGGATATTTCCCCGTAGTTCACAGACAATAGCTAATAAAGCTGATCAAATTGTTTGACAACCACAGGAAGGACACAAGATTTCTCACAGGGTCAACAGGGATTTTTTTTGTGCTTGCAGAAAATGTACTTAGCTTTATAAAAGAAAACTAATGCAGCCACCAACTATTTCAGCTCACTTTGCAGGGCACAATGAACATTAGCACAATCGGGACCTCAATTTTCAAAAAAGTTTCCACTTTAATGATATTTTAATTCATCCAAAATACCTCAAACACAATCAGCATGACAAAAATAGCACCTCGTCATGAAGTGCTACATTTCGGGTCAATTGTGACTTTTTTTAAGTAGGAGTTGAACCACAGTGCAATGCAGGGCAACACTCCATAGGGTATTCAGGCCCTGTATTGCACTATACGATGTGATGATTGCAGTCCTCAGCTGCAACTTGTCCCTCCAGGAACAGATTGAGACATTATTTGCATTAACCTGCACCAGACAGTGTCTACACTCCAATTTTAAGGTAAGTTGCAGGGGCCTAAGGGAGGAGACAGGCACACTCTAAATTGGTTTTAACATTAAAAATATATTTCATATTAAAAAGATAGTATGGCTAAAATGTATAAGAAGGGGGGGGGGGGGGGATTAGGCG